CTCCAGCCCGCCCCGCCCACTGACCAGTGAGATTCTGCGGCTGCCGCAGGTCCAGCTGCTGGTAGGGGACCCCGGGGCGCTGTGGCGCGTGGGAGTCGGGTCCCCTGCTGGGAGCCCCCAGGAGGGCAGCCGAGGCAGGGTGCTCCAGCTGCAGGCCCCCCTCGGAGAGCCGGGCCAGGCCCAGAGGGGAATAGCAGGGGTCTGGGGAGGAAGAGGGCGTGGCAGTGGGGGGCGCAAAGGGTGGGGCCTGGCGGCGCTAAGAAGCCACGGCTGGCTGGGGCACTCGGGGCCCACACGCTGGCCTAGGCCTGGAGAGCAGCTGGCCCCGGGGGGGGGGCAGGGCAGCCGTCACTGAGCTGCTGGACATCAGCCTCGCGGGAAGGGGGCCGGTCCGGGCTCCCTCCCGGCTGGCCCACCCTGGGCCGCGCCCCTCCCGCCACGGGCCCTACCTCCGGGCGGAGGCAGGGCGTAGGTGATGAGGCGGGCTCCGATCCCGGCGCTGGGGGCCGGCGTGGGGGCCGCAGTCACCGTGGGGCGGACCGTCAGCTTCTCTCCTGTGTGCAACCCTCAGGTCAGGAGGGAGAGGCCCGAAGCCAGCCGCGCCCGCCGAGAATGTTCCCAGGAGCCGGAGAGGGAAAGCCCGCCCGCCCGCCGGTGTGGACGGTTCACGCCGCGGGTGCTGAACCGTAGAGGGATAAAACTGCAAATCCGGGCCGTGTCAGGGCAGGCCGCGCGGCGCCGGCCCCAGTCAGCAGCAGGCCCCGGGTGGACACTAGGCGGCCACTGCAGGCGCCGCCCCACGCACAGCGCCCTCTGCGGTGAACAAGCCCGCAGCCGCTTTCCGCCCCAGCACGGCGGCCCGTGGGGAAGGACGCTGGACCCACGCAGCCTTCTGGGAGTGTCCGCATCTCCCTCTCACTTATAACTCAGTTTCCAAGTAAAGATGCTTTGGGAAAAGTTCACGTTTGAAAAAGCCAGGGCTGCTTTCAGGAAACAGGGTGGGAGCCGGATCAGACCCAGCAGTAGCAGAAAAGGCAGTGCCCTTGAGGGTGGCCTCTGGGGAGGCAGGAAGCCCACGAAGGACAGGGAAGGTGCAGAGACAGGCCCTCCCACCCGGGGAGCCTCCCCAGCCCGAGGCGGGGTCCCCAGCGCCCCCACAGGTGCAGCTGCTGCTCCCCGGCCCCGCTGCCCTCCAGCCCGCTCACCAGGCGGGACACAGCGGCAGCAGGCCTCTCCCGGTGGCTCCACCAGGACCCAGTCCTGCGGCATGAGAGGGGTCTGGGTACGCCAGGCTGGCCCTGCCCCCCCAGCCCACGGGTGCCCCAGCCCTGCCCCCACGCACCTCCCCTGTCCCAACACCTCACCTGGGGGCAGCCGCCCAGCGGGCAGTAGGGGGAGCAGTGCACGGTGCCATTGTGCAGACACTGGCACACGCTGCAGGGGCCCCCTCGCCAGCGCGCCCCCACACTGTGGACCTGGCCGAGCAGCTCACAGCGCCCGCAAGGCTCCGTCTGGCACCTGGGGGGAGGGTCCCCTCCCCGATGAGCAGCTCACCCGCGCACCCCGCCATCCTGGTGTCCCAGGGCCCTGGGCGGGCAGTGGAAGCACCGGACCACCAGGGAGGGGACACCGGCCCGGAGCCCCACCCCTGCAGCTGGGGGGCTGGACCGAGGGGGGCCGGAAAGCAACGTGCCCCAGGGCCCCTGAGCGGCAGAACCTGGCCGGGGTGTGGGGTGGACAGGCACAGACAGCCCTGCCCCCCACACTCACCAGGCCTTCGTGGGCACAGGAGGCACCTGCGCCTGGCTCGTGCGCTCCCTAGCGCCCCCCTCTGGGGCCAGAGGGCATAAACTGATGCAGGAGAAAGCCGGGTCCCCAAGATGTGCTGGGAGTCCGGGTTTGGGCCGGGATGCAGCGTGGGGGCGGGGCAGAGGCCGCCGCCTACCGGAGCGGGAGGGGAGGGCGCGTACCTGCGGGCCTTGCGGCGGAGGCCCGGGCACTGGCGGCCGCGCCCCGAGACGCCCGGGTTGTTGGGGCTCCGGAAGGACCACTGGACACTCTGGCTCCCGCAGGGGCCCAGGCACTCGGCCCAGCGGGACCAGGAGGACCAGCCGCAGTCCACTGAGGAAGGGCCGAGAGTCGGGGGCTGGCACGGAGCCCAGCCGCGCGCGCTGGGGGTCGCGACCCTGGGAGGCGGGCGGGGAGGGGCTCACCAGCACAGTCGGGGTTCGGGCGGCAGCGCTGTGGCCGGCCGTCCTGGCAGACGCAGAGCCGGCAGTC